GATCGCATCCACCCCCCAAATCCTGACACGCAGACTCTAATCTGGAGAACCGGGTTGGATTCCATAATGCCTCCACGTGAAGCCAGCTGGGTGACCTTGGGTCAGTCACAAGTTCTCTCGGAGCTGTTCTCTCAAGAGCAGTCCTCGAAAAAGCTCTCTCAGCCCCACCTGCCTCACAGGGTGTCTGTTGTGGGGAGAGGAAGGGAAGGAGATTGTAAGCTGCTCTGAGACTCCTTTGCGTAGTGAAGGGCAGGGTGTAAAAACAACTCTTCTTCTATTACTGATGACTGATGTCATTTTAGGTTCACAAAGGCCTGAGACACAGAAGAAACATTGGCATGTGTGTCCTTGTGAAGGATTCGTCGTGCCTCAGTCAGGTAAGAAAAATGCTGTTAAGCATCCCAGACAGATGCTTTACAGGGCCAGTTTCATGTTTTGGGGGCCCTGGGTCAGCCAGTGCCTAGAGGCACCCCATCTGCCCACCATCAGGGCCGCCCTCATGCCCTGTTTTCCACTCCCCCCGGCTGCCCCTGCATCCTTCTCCCCCTTTCAAGCCTCCCAACCAGTGTTCCCTCTAAGCTGAGTGAGTGTGAGCTAGCTCACAGTTTTTTAGCCTCCGACGCACACATTTTTGTCTTACCTCAGGAAGGAGGGCTCCAGAGCAAACTAATTTATGGAGTAGCCAAATCGCTCGTTCACAACTTTAATGCCAGGGGCTCACAAAGTAGAATTTTTCCTCACAAGACTCCACAGCTTAGAGGGAGCATTGCTCCCAACAACCAGGGCTATTTTTGGGCAGGAACGCACAGGAACGGAGTTCCAGCTGGCTCCCGAGTTGGCCACGCCCAGCAGGAACTCATTAGCATAATAGGCCACACCCAACAGCAGGAACTCATTAGGATTGGCTACATTAGGGGTGTGTGGCCTAACATGCAAAGGAGTCCCTGCTACAAAAAAAGGCCCTGGGTTTTGACAACAGACAAGGTAAACAGAATAAGGAGCAAAAGGTGGGTGTGACTGGATAACCACACTTCTGATAACATGAGGGTGCGGCCTAATGTGCTAATGAGCTGTGCTGTCAGGGGTGTGGTGGCCCAATATGCTAATGAGTTCCTGTTGTTGGGTGTGGCCTATTATGCTAATGAGTTCCTGCTGGGCTTTTTCTACAAAAAGAGCCCTGCCAACACCCACGCTCGGTTCCCTGCACCACCGACACACCCTTTCCCCGAAAGCACTGGCCAGCGTATTCAACGAAGAGTGGCGCTGCCGTTACCGCTAGAAGTGTACCACCAACATGCCCTTCCTCGATGATGGCTGGGAGCACAGATGTAAATACTTGGCAGAGGAGGTGCGTGGGTGGGGGTCAGAGCAGCAGTGGGCCCCACCAGAAGCCTGGGGCTGTAGCAGCTGCCCCACCTCAAGGCACGCCGGTGCCGGGCTCCGATGCTTCGAGGTCACACGGAGTGCTGCGATCAGCTCGGAGAAGACTAAAATTGGCCACAGGGATCTCAGAGCTCCGTCCCAGATTCTCGAAGCATCTTGATCGAAGTCTTATGCAAAACGACCACCAGGCCCTGCAGGGAACTGGGAGAGAGTGCCGGCTCTTCCACGACTCATGCGGTGTGCGTTTCTGCCTGCCGGTTGCGCCTAAGGACACTGTAAAAGGGACCCATTGATTTCTGGTTCTAATGTGGTTCGTTTTTTCAGCACATGCAGTGAAGATGTGTGGAATGGGTGGGAATGACAGCCCCACGGCAACAGAGAGGGAGATAGAGATATGAGGTATTCAGGTGGGGAAGGGGGGAGGCCCATGGAAGAAACACAGGGGGGAGGGGGAGGAGGAGGAGGAGGAGAAGAAGAAGAAGAAGAAGAAGAGGAAGAGGAAGAAGAAGAAGAAGAAGAAGAAGAAGAGGAGGAGGAGGAAGAGGAGGAGGAAGAGGAGGAAGAGGAGATTGGATTTATCCCCCGCCTTTCACTCGGAGTCTCAGAGCGGAGTCTCAGAGTCCCCTTTCCCTTCCTCTTCCCACAACAGACACCCTGTGAGGTAGGTGGGGCTGAGAGAGCCCTTTCGAGGACTGCTCCTGAGAGAACAGCTCTGAGAGAACTTGTGACTGACCCAAGGTCACGCCAGGAGCTGCATGCGGAGGAAGTGGGGAAATCCAACCCGGTTCTCCCAGATTAGAGTCCGCGCTCCTAGCCACTACGCCAAACGTGACCTAAGTCAGTTTCTTCTTCCCCCCCTTTCTCAGGACGCCACCGTCGCCATTCTCACCCCAAGCATAAGCATCGTCCTCACCACCACCGGAAGCACAAGTGCGGAAGGTTCCAGAGCAACTGCCAACACCGGCATCTCCTGAACGGGCTTCAGATCCCACTGTAGCGCTCTGATTCTCCTCAGTAAAACAAGTCCACCCACTTCCTGCAGAGACGGTCTTCTTTATGGGTTGCGTGTCCGTTTAAGAAGTCTGGAAAGCAAACAGACAGCAAACTGTCAAACTTGGAACCGATGCTGAAACTCCAGTTCAACCTTGGCAGGCCACAGGCCTGTTGTTAACACCGCCCATCCTCAGTTTGCCATCTGTAAAATGGGAGTATACACTTGGGCTGCCAACTCGGCGTAGGGAGATTCCTTGAGATTTGGGGGTGAAACCTGGGTAGGGCCAGAGTTTGGGGGGCAAACTCAGCAGGGATTACCCTCTGGAACAAGCATTTTTCCCGGGGGAACTGATCTCTGTGTACTGGAGAGTAATAATGTTGGGAAAGAGATCATCAGGCCCAATCCGGAAGTTACGCAAAAATATATGACACTGTGTATAATAGATGTATGCTTAAGGTAGATCAATTTTGCGCTTTTTCTTGTTCTGTACTGTTATATAAATATTGGTGTTAAATACTGTCAAACTGTATCCAAACTGCGCTCAATTAATTTTTAAATATTAAAGTGAACAGAATACAAAAACTATCCGTGAAGTACAAAAGACATGAGTACAAAATATATACAGGTATTTAACAGGTATTGGTTGTTGTATAGGTTGTTAACGATAGTCCCCGGAATGTTCAACCGTTTCGAAAGATATCTTCTTCTGAACAGATGACGGAAAATGAAGAACACGTGACGTCTCTGGTCAGTTTTTCAACTGGTATATTTCAAGAAACTCACAATGTTCTTCGATACGTCATTTTACAGCATTTTGCCCTATGTAGAATCAGCAGGAGCTTCCTCTCGATAAATGTTTTGACATATCGAAGAAAATTATGAATTTCTTGAAATGTACCAGTTGAAAAACTGAGACATCACATGTTTGTCAAATATTGTCAAACATAGCTGTCACCCAAACAATCCATCAGAGTGCAGGTTTGCACTCTGTTCAAACGTTCAAACAGCACCTTGTCAGTTTCACAAACACTAGTCTCAGGGGACTCTAGTAATTTACCCGTTTCATATACAATCTTATTCAAGGACCATGATGTATATACAGGACACAAGGCACAACAATTTCTCTTTCTCTTTGTGCACCATTCCTGGAGGTACTGCGTCTTATGTCCTGTATGTACATCACGGTCCTTGAAAAAGGTTGTATTCGAAACGGGTGCTGTTTGAATGTCTGAACAGAGTGTAAACCTGCACTCTGATGTATTGTTTGGGTGAAACCTATGTATGATACTATTTGACCCCAATATTTATATAACAGTATAGAAAAACAAAAAAACAAAAATAAAAAACACAAAATTCATCAACCGTAAGCATATATCTATTATAAAGGTAAAGGCTTCCCTTGCTCGAAAGCTAGTCGAATCCGACTCTAGGGTTGTGGTGCTCATCTCCGTTTCCAAGCCGAAGAGCCAGCACTGGCCGAAGATGTTTCCATGGTCATGTGGCCGACATGACTAAACGCCGAGGCGCATGGAACGCTGTTACCTTCCCACCGAAGCGGTACCTATTTATCCAAATTTCTTGCCTTCCAACTGCTAGGTTGGCAGGAGCTGGGGCCAGAGACGGGAGTTCACTCCATCATGCGGCACTCCGGTCTCGAACTGCCGAACTACTGACCTTCCAGTCTGCAGCTCAGCATCTCAACCTCTCAGCCACCGCGGCCCCCTTCTGCTATTGTTGTTCCCCTGCTATTGTCATTTGCCTGCTAATGTCACTTGGCATCTGAAATCACTCCAATAATTACTTCTGCGCCACCGCAGCCTCTTATCTATTATACACAGTGCCATATACTTTTGCATATCTTCATAAAACTGTGACCCTCAGTTTTTGTATCATCTACCAACCTGGAGGTTGGCAACTCCAGTACATACAGTTCACCTATGTAGAGACACCTGCCTATATATATGAACTCTTAACTTCCATGTCAGTGTATCCGAGGAATTGTGCGTGCACAGGAAAGCTCACACCCATTTAAGTCATATTTCTTATTAACCGCCCCGTTAACTTCAGCCTAGCAGTTCGAAAGCAAGAAATTGCAAGTAGAGAAATAGGGACCACTTTGGTGGGAAGGTAACAGCGTTCCGTGCGCCTTGGTGTTTAGTCATGCCGGCCACATGACCACGGAAACGTCTTCGGACAGCGCTGGCTCTTCGGCTTGGAAACGGAGATGAGCACCGCAACCCTAGAGTCGGATTCGACTGGCTTTCGAGCAAGGGAACCTTTACCTTTACTTTAGAACCCCTGCAGGCATGCATGCATTTTAAAAAGAAACCGCTCCAACCGAGAAAAAAGGTCCCGTATAAACCGTGGAGCGAGCACAGCCGCAGCCAATCCGGATCAAGCCCCTCCTCTCCATTCCTCTCCCCCCCCGCGCTGCATTCCAGAGCGCGCGGGCCCTTTAAGGCCGGCAGGGGAAGGGCGGAAGCGGGAGCCAGGACGCGGTTACCACGGCAACCCTGCCTCCGATGACGTTACAACGGACCACCCCGCCGGCTCCGCCCTCGCCCCATTGGTGCGCGCCGGTCATGTGTCGCCTGCGAGCGTTCTATCCCAGGCGGAAGCCAGTTTGGAGGGGGGCCGGCTGGAGGGCCGCAGCCGCAGGAGACGGAGCCCCGTCTGGGTGAGTGTGGGAGCGGCTCCCCCCGTGGAAATGTAATGGTGGGGTCTGGGTCTGTGCTTCCCCCAGGTACTGGGCGATTCCATTGGAGAAGCGGGGGGGGCAGAAGGAGGGCTTACCTTTTCTCTCCCCTCAAGACATAACGGAGCCTTGAATTATTAAATCAGCCTCCCAAACCCTTCCAGTTTACATACATGTCATTTATTTCTGACCCTTCCGTCTTTAAAAGAAACTCGGGGGAGGGGCAGTTCCTCCCGCTTTTTAGCTTTACAACAGCCCTTTGGGGTAGGCTGACAGCCCCTAGTGAGTTTCGTGGCGGAGGGAGGGATTCGAACCCAGGCTTCCCCGCATCGCCCTCCCCCCAAGAGACGGAGATGTTGTGTAGTTTCCACTGCGGGTTTTGTGGGTGGGGGGAACGTCTCTTGCCTCCCCATCCCAGCATCGAGGTGGGTAAGGAAGAGAAAGTAAGATGGGGGGGGGCCTGGATTTGAGGGTTGCTGGACTCTGGTCGGCAGCTGCGTGGTTACTGAGACAGCCCCCTCCCCCCTGTGGATGCAAGGGGGTGCCTGAAACCTTTGGGGGCTTAACACCCCCTCCCCCACAAGTCTTATGATCCTCAGGGTCACCCTTCTGACCCCCCTGCCAATGACACTGGGATGCCCCTGCAAGGTACCTTTTTACACCTTTGGGGCGTGATGCCGGAGTCTTTCATTTTAGCCCTGGGGCCGTGGGCATGGATCAATCCGTGGGTGTTTTTGGGCATGCAAGCGCAAGTTCTTTGGCCTCGCCACCATCTCTGTTCCCTTATACCGTGGCGCCGTCTCTCCGGCTGCCGGCAGGTAGCCTCCCTTTCCTGCTTTCGTCTTTCCGCAGCCCCGATTCCGTCTCTTCAATACGAAATTCCGTCTCTTCAATACGAAGATCATTCGAACGAGGGTTACTTTAAAAACGTGGGCCTCTGTGTCCGTGGGGCTGATGTGGTGCCCCCCAATGCATCCTCTCTGTGGTTTCTCACTCGTTTACAGATCTTGTTTGTATAACCGGGCATTTGGGACATGAGAGGTCCGTCTTGTGGTTCTGTTTCAGTGATCCGCAACGTGAACACCCGTGGGAACCATGGCCCCCGCCCGTACCCTTTTTGGCAGTCCCCCAAGCGGGCAGGACCGGGTGTGGCTTTTCTTCTTGAAGGCTTCTGATGGGCTGTGCAGATTTCTTGTAACATGTTGCTTTGGGCCTTGACCAATGTTCCCCCTAAGCTGTGGAGTCCTGTGAGCAAACATTCTACTTTGTGAGTCACAGGCATTAAAGTTGTGAGCGGGCGATTTGGCTACTGCATAAATTAGTTTGCTCTGGAGCCCTCCTTCCTGAGCTCAGACAAAAATGGGTGAGCTGGAGGCTAAGAAACTGTGAGCTAGCTCACGTTAACTCAGCTTAGAGGGAACACTGGCCCCTGACCCAGACAGCCCGGGCGAGCCCGATCTCGTCAGACCTCGGAAGCTAAGCAGGGACGACTCTGGCAAGTACTTGGAATGGGAGATCCTTTTGGAATACCAGAGGCGGGAGGGCGGGGGCAGCCTTTATTCAGCCACCTCTCTGAATATCCTCCAGGCCCCCAGTAGGGGTCAGTCACTAGAGGTCGCCATGACTTCCAGGTGCACACACGCTCACATGTGCGCACTCCCACATGCAGATATAAAAAATACAAAAAAACCCACACTGCTTTGGCAGCAACTGCCACCGCAGTACAAGGATCTTCACTATGTGACTGAAGGTAGGTTGCAGCAGACATTTTGTGGCATGCGAACACCACACTATGTCCGAATTCACCTTGTTTCCTCCCAAAAGTCCAGGACAGTGAACAGGGTTATTCCACTGCCTTTTGTTGATGTTCAGTCGCACAGTCGAGTCTGACTCTTCGTGACCCCATTGACCACACCACGCCAGGCCCTCCTGTCTTCCGTTGTTCTCCAGAGTTTGCTTAATTTCACGTTCGTTGCATCGATGACACAGTCCAACCATCTCATCCTTTGCCCTCTCCTTCTTTTTGACCTTCAATCTTTCCCAGCATCAGGGTCTTCTCCAGCGAGTGCTCCCTTCTCATTTGGTGGCCAAAGTATTTGAGCTTCAGCTTCAGTATCTGGCCTTCCAGGGAACAGTCAGGGTTGATTTCTCTTAGGATTGACTGGTTTGATCTCCTTGCAGTCCAAGGGACTCTCAAGAGTCTTCTCCAGCACCATAGTTCAAAAGAATCTATTCTTCGGCGCTC